CTGAGTGAGTAAAAAGTAAAAACGGATAATTTTCTTTCACCCAAAAAAAAAAAAAAAAAAACTATAATCTTTGTAATAGCTCTCATCCTTTTTATTTTGTTTAATTTTTCTGTGCACAGAACACATGATTTTTTATTTCCATGAGACAAAAATAATATATAGTACCTTAGCTGTGTAATCACTTTAGCTAATCACTATTACTTGTCCTCTAACATTATTTATATTCTTTTCCTTGATACTATGGTCCTCATATGACACTTTATCCCATTTCTTTTTAATGATTAGCTCAAGTTCAGCATTAAAATGATTAATTAGCCTACATTACAATTAAGAGTGGTGTTGCTTGGTCTTTCTTGGGCTCGACGGCTCAATACTTTGGAGGGAGATGTGAAACCTACGACAGGCCCAAGCCTGCTAACAATTGGGCTTATGGGGACCATCTAAGAGCTTCAGTTGTGCACGTGCGAGGAGAATGCAACCGCGTTACCGGGAACAGAAACTTCGGTGTCCACTACATTATTTATTTATAGGAAAAAAATGTGTGTCATTTCAAAGGATGTAAAATTATGTCATTTTAAGAGAGTGAAAGAGATAAATAAAGGGGGAGAGAGTGGAAAAAAAAAATACAAGTGTGGATCTCAACTCTTTGTGAGTGTAAAGAACCTTGAGATACACCACTCAAAAACTAGCTCAAAGGGTGGGAGTGCCTAAGGCCTTATAAATTTCACATTAGTTGCGTATACAACCAATGTGAGACTATATATCTCAACACGCCCCTTCACGCAAGAGCCCTTTGAACTTGAACTAGAAGCGTGAAATTGCACAGACCCAATTTTTGGTTTATCTTTTTTTGTGTTTCTTATTTTAATTCCACTTAAAAGTGGGGGGCGGTGAAGATCGAACTTGTGACCTTATAGTCAGTCAAGCTCTGATACCATGTAAAGAACCTTGAGATATACCACTCCAAAAGCTAGCTCAAAGGGTGGGAGTACCTAAGGCCTTATAAACTCCACATTAGTTGCTTATACAACCAATGTGGGACCATATATCTCAACAGTGAGAGTGAAATGATATAAGTTGTGTCATTTAAAAGGACAAATAATTTTCCCTTCTTTATAAGGGGTAAATACTTTTATCTCTTACACGTATATAAAAATGTATAAGATATATTTTTTTTCTCTTTTTTTTTTTTCTTCACAAAACTCCACATACTTTTATGTATATGTAGGAGATAATTTCCTACAACATAAAAAAAGTTTAATCCCTATTTATAATATAAAGTATTGCATTCATTCTAAAAGCTTTGTTTTCAAAATCCTGTCAGCATGGCTTTGTTAAATTGTTATGGAGAACTGTTATCATGTGTGTACAGCGAAATAGTTTTGCTGCGAAAGTTTATATGCAAGATTTTCCTTTATTTTTTTATTTGGTACAAATTTTCCTTAATTTTTAGCTTGGTGTCGAGAACCTTGTTTTTAGTCAAATTATTTACTAAATCTCCTGTAACATAACCTTGGTATCATTGCAGGACATCTATACCTTTAATCTAAACACTTATATCTCTTTATTTATATATATATATATATATATGGTTTTATTAATCCCATGTCATATAGATAAATTTGTAGGCTCTACCATTTGAAAAAGAAAAAAGAAAAAGGTGGCACAGTTATCGAAGGGTGTGCAGGAGAGAAAGTTATCACATGTAGCATAAGAGTAGTTTTTCCATATATATATATATATATATATATATATATATATATAGAGAGAGAGAGAGAGAGAGAGAGACTTGTTGAAAGAGTGAATAGAGTATAGTATCACATTTTAATCTTGAAAACTTGAGGTCAGTGTCAACTAAAATGAAATAAAATAAAATGAAAAATGTCTAAAATAATATGGAATAAGAGATTGTTCATTTGGATATATTCACTGATTTAACAATTATTCGATTAATTTGATTTGAGCACTCTTGAATCCATTATAAAGGATGATTATCCCAAAATTCATTATTTGAGAATGAAATGGATAATTCTATAGCTTTAAATATATTTTTAACTAAAGAATAATTCTTATTTCTCTTCACTCTCTAAGTGGGTGGGGGTGGGGGGTGTGGAAATTAAAGTAGCAGCAAAACTTGCATAAACAGGTCCCCATTTAATACTTCATTTCGGCCTTTTTTTTTTTTTTTTTTTATTTCATCACCCAAACAAGGGAGGGACCTAAGATATAGCCTTCTATTATACTCAACTCCATTGGTCCCGAGCTTCGAAACATAACATACCTTTAGGATATGTCTGACAGTTTGGAGGGGAAAGAAATCTAAGGGGGGAGGGAGGGAATTTTATTTGAGTGCTATGGTTATACAAAAGTGGGCTCTCCTCCTTGCTAAAAAAGGAAAATATTATCTCATTTCAATCCAAATATTTTTTCCTAATTCCCCTTGAGTCTTAACTTTTTATCCAAAAATGGAAGAGATGTATATACGACCGTTGCACATAAGAAACTCTCGACATAGAGGTGGCAAAAAAGGTCAACTCGCCCCCACCCACTGCTATCCTGCCAAAAACGAGTTGGCTCGTCCCGCCTTTTGAATATGGGTTGAAAAACTTAACCCACCCTGTTTTATGGTGGGTTGGCGGGTCAACCTGCTTAAAAAATTCAAAATAATTAAAAATAAATTATATATTATGAATTTTATAATATTACTTATTTTCATGTCACACTCCCGTTTTTTTTTTTTCAAACTCAAGCCTAAATGTATGCTAATATTCAATAAGATATTATTTAAGAACTTATTTTTGCCTCCATATATGGATAGTCTTTGTCATAAATAAAATTTTTCTTCTTTATTTTTCTAGGGGAGTACTAAGATAAAAAAAAATTTGGATATCATAACAGCTTATTGAGAAATAAACTACTACCTAACAATGACAAATAAAATATTACCAAATAGTAATAATAATAATAAAATTGACCCAACAGGCTAACCCGCCACGAACCCGTTTTGACCTGCAACTAGGCGAGGCGGGTTGAGGTGAGTACGTGGGTTGAAATGTGTAATCCAACCCATCCTGTTTTGGCAAGTTAGCGGGTTGACCCATCGGGTCTCATATTGCCATCTTTACAAGTCGAGAGGGGAAGGAAATGAACGAAAATGAAGATTATTTATTTTCCACTTTTTTCAGAGTTAAAAATCTCCCTCAAACCCTCCAAATTAGGGGAACTCCAATTTTAAAGGTGAGAAGAATTTTGAAAGATTTTATAAAATTCTCTAATTTCCTTCCTTCATTTTGTTAAACACAAAAAAAAGGGGAAGTCATAAGTAAAACCTTTTCCATTCTTCTTTTTTCCTCCAAACAATAACTCCCAAAGACACCCTTACATTTTAGGGACTGGATTTGGGGAGGTCTTGGTCGTGTCTGATTCTCCTCTCTTTCGTAAAAGAGCTTCTAGTCTTCTACTCTTTATGCATATAGTATGGTGCCATGGTGGTTCAATTATACTGATCTTATAGCCTAGCTATTCGTTTGCATTATAGTCTATAGATATGAATTAGTGTACGAATTTCTCGATTAAAGTTTGGAATTACCCAATAAAGTTTGAAATGATTCCACCACTCTTATTACGAGCCGATAGAATTGAACTTCTGTTTCATTGTTATTCTAGCAAATGCAACGTTGAAAAAATGATTCAACTAATTTTGAACAACTTTTGATGTTCATTAGAATCCTGACTTCATTTTTTAAGATAAATATTTTCATTCAATTAAGTCATAAGAATCCGACTGTCAAATGAATGAGATGAGCTATAATTTTCTTCTAGTGATTCTACTACTAAATGATAGAAGTTTCACTTAATGCATAACAAATGCAAAAAAAATGTAAAGTAAAAAAAGAAATTTACTAGTGAATCGAACTCAGATTTTCTTTCCACTTACTCAGCGTATATATTGCAAACTGAGCTACACTCATCAAATATTATTGTCTCTTTTTTTAGAAGTAACTTATAAAATAATAACGTAGATAATATTTTACAACTTTATAATGTAAATAATCTTCAATATTTGTTTTATCCTCCTTTTACATATTTGTTAATTTTTATTATTGAAAAAAGAAAGAAAGAAAGAAAATACTATATTATTTTTACCTAAAAAAACTCTTAAACTGATCTTTTAAATATAAACATATATTACTATATTTATTTTAATAAAGGACTAAAATCATAATATGAAAAACATATATTGCTATATTTGCTAAATTAATAACTAGTTTGTACTTTTAAGAAAATAATACGATAACAAATTTTTTTTAAAAATGAACCCTTTAAGTTTAAATATCTAATTTAAGCGTAGAAATGGGCCTGCTTAGGGGTGGCCGGGTGGGTCCTCACAAGCTGGGTTTGGGTTGTCATTAAGCTGTCAAAGGAACTAGAATGAAGAAAGTTGGATTCGACTGGATTTGGACAAAGAAAGAGAAAAAAATTTCTTCGCAGAATAAAAACATCGCATTCATTTGGTACATTCTTCTCCTCCTATAATCCTTTACTTGATGGCGCTTTTTTTTTTTATTATTATTATTCTTTGATAATGGGCAGTGATACTGATGATAAGGAAAATCTTCTGGATAGAGAATAACAGATGGCGCAGGCCCACAGAATGTTGCTTATGTCCTCACCGAATCACTTCTAAATCTTCTCTTATCTCCACTTTGTTTTTTGTTTTTTCTAATTTCTTCACCCAATTTTTATATAATTAACTAATCAGGTAGAGCCGCACAGGATCATAAAGATAACAAAACTCTTCTTATTAAATTTTTATCATAATTGCATATTCAAACTCGAAAACACGACTAAACTGGAACAATCCGTACCAATTGGCCAATTTGTTTTTCTAATAGCACGAACCTGTCTTCCAAGTGCGTTATCTAAATCCAGCTCAAGTGTTGGAAAGCCATCTATAGTACCCCACTTTGGGTGGCGCTGATGACCTCATTTTATTAAACATAATAGAAAACTAGTAAAGTATATTCAACGAGGACGTGAGTTTTTTTTAATAGTTTTTATATACAAATAGGTAAGTATTTGCTATTTGACAGACTGGTTTATAATGACAAACATTTTTAATGGACAAAAGATAACATTCTTAAACTAAACTTCAGTTTGGGATAGGCCAGATCATGTTCTATGCATGGACGATGTCCTGTTTTAAGCTCTGGTTCTTCAGTATCTCTCTACTACATGCTACCATACAACGCCTCTAAAGACTAAACTCAATGGCTTCATGAGGTGTGCTCTACTGTTTTAAGCTCTCTATGGTTCTTCAGGATCTCTACTACATGTTACCATACAACGCCTCTAAAGACTAAACTAAATGGCTTCATGAGGTGTGCTTTAATGTTGGGAAAATGGAATCAATAAAACCATGGTACATCGGATCCACCATCCAGAGTTCAGCGATAAGCGCATGCGATGAGGTTTGTCGATGTACTTCTTCCATGAGCCAGATAGTGGCTTCAGCTTTGCACGGATGAATTATGTTGTCTAAGGGCTTATATTCATCCTCACTGCCAATTCTCAATTGGTCCCATTGCTTAAGGAGGACATTTGTGAGGTAATGAAGAGGTTGCCCATATAACTGCTTAATGGATCTGCCTAATCCCATCCATGAGGTAAATGGGATGACTGAGCCTCGATCACTAGGGATTGGGATCTGCTTCATGTATGCCTGATACAGTTCTGCCCGTATGATGAGTACATCTGCATACAAGCATGACCTTTAAAATAAGTGCATTCATAAGAATGCCAAGCAGCTAAAGATAAAATAAATAAATTAAGAAAGGCACGTACAAGCTAACTAGAAACCAAAAGACCTAATGAAAGCCAGTATTATGAAGAAATGTTTTTCAAAATGGTAACACTAACAACATTGAGTTATGAGCCAAGAATCTTGAAACAGAAAAACACAAAGGTCTTCCATTTTCAATGTGACTAGAAATGGAAAAGTTCTTGCTTGTGATCTCTTGGCCGATAAAATTGAAAATACAAATATTTTGAACATCATGGTGAAAATACAAAAACTAAAAGATAAAAAAAAAAATCTCAGATTCAACGCATTTATTAACATTGAAGCAACATAAAAACATTATAAAGCAAGATTAACTTCTCACTAATAATACACATCAAATAAGAAAGCAATAACATGCTGTAAAACAGATTTATAAAGCACAGTTGTAGTTCAACATTCTAACCATTTACCTCTTTAGCATCACAGTTAGCACTTAGCAGGTTAGATGGTTGTGCTTTTGGGGTTTATAGTTCTCAATAAGGTGCTAAGCCTTATGGGGTATATTATAGTGCTAAGTCTTACACAGGTCAGACCATTGGAAAAGTAACAACATGCCGTAAACTGTAAAATAGAACTATGAATCCACATCGATACAGAAAGAAGTGAAAACAGATGGGAATACAAATGTTTTGATTTTCACCCAAGGTTGAAATTGGTTGGTATAGAGGGTAGAAAATAACTATGATGCCTTAATGTGGCCAAAAGTGACGGGGTGGAGGGTAAAGGGGTTAAACTTCACCTTCAACCATCCAAATTTATGTGAAAGCATACAAATATAAAGTGGAAGGTGAGCCTTGGCACAATGGTTAGTATTGTTGCCATGTGAATCAGAGGTCATTGGTTCGATTCATGTAATCAGCCTCCTGCAATTGCAAGAGAAGGCTGCCTACTATATAACTACACAAAGGGTCTGACTCTTCCTCGGACCCTAGACTGTGGAGGAGCTTTATAGCACTAGGTTTCCCTTTAGACAATTGTAAAGTGATTTTCATTCACCAATTTTCACCAACTCAATGAGCAATATGATCAATCCCTATGGAGCATATTAGCATAGTATTTATAACTAATTCAAGTGAAATTCACATGCATTAATATCTTACTGTAATCAGACAAGTATGTATACCTGAGAATTATATTGCATGGAAGGTTCCAAAAAAATAAAAGACGCAATCAACCATGCTAAAAAAATGAGAGAAGCGACACTATCAGTCAGTATATCAAGCAACATCAAAAGACCAAATTTTTTTGGGATTTCAACCGTTAGGAAATTAGTATTCGCCAAAATACAACCTGAATAGTGAAATCCACCAAGTATCTTCAAAAAAAAAAAAAAAAAAAAATCAAAAAACAGTGACGTTTAGTGTAATGTAAAGCTCTATAACCTTCTAGACCTCAAGTTTACGAAAGAAAACAGCACAAACCCGGAATAAAAGAGGGAAAATGAAGCATTATCAGGTAATTCAAAATTCAAACAGTTATCGACGATTTCGTCAATGTCACTAACCTCCCCAATCCGTACACGAAACCAAAATCAAAACCCTAAGCTCGAACAGAGAAATGAACTGCATTTCGGTTGTTGACATAAAGGAAATAAAAATAAGTGGCCCAGGGAAGCTAGGGTTTATGTGCGGAACTGATAAAACGGAACGGAAGAGAATCGAAAAAAAAAAACAATAAAAAGAAATAATCGGAGCAAAGAAAGGACCTTTGGAGATCTGAAATGGAGGTGCAGAAGAGACGTTGAAGCGAGTATCGGAGGTGGTGGGTTCAGCCATGGAAGATCGTTGATAAGCAAGAGTAGGAATGAACCGAATGAGAACACTGAGCGAAAACCCTTTCGAATTCAACCCAAGATAAAAATGTGTTGGGGTGCACGTTAATTACTATGCAACCCCCGTTGGCGCACGTTAGTGGGAGTCACAAAATATTTTTTTTAATTTTATTTTATTAAAATTATGACAAATTATTGTTTTGTACTGGTTTCATTAAATAACGATAAAATCATAAAGGAGTATGAAGAGGAAAAATTACATTTTAAAATATACAACTTGATAAAGTAATTCACATTTAGACTATTGAAAAAAAAATCTTTTAAAGTGACTTTATGTAATACCAAAAAAAAATATATGTATTATTTATTGGCACAAAAAGCATCATAATGTGTTTAACATTGATACTAAAAGCGTCATCTATATTGATATTGGCGTTATAAACGCCATTACATGTTTAAGTTAAAATATTTTTAAATTGGATTAATTGCAAAGTAATAAACCGATTGAAATATTTTCAAATATCATTACATCTTAGAACATCATATTGTTTCTTTCGTTAATTAGGTTAAATATAATTAATTAGATAAGTTCTTTGTGATCATAAAAAACTGATTAGAAAAAGTATATTTGCCACAGAGACTCTTTTTTTTAAAAAAAATGGGACTCGCTAATTAAAAATAAAAATAAAAATTAGCCACTGTATATTCCCAAAAATACTCTGTAGGTGGCAGAAACTATTGCATAATAGTTTTACGTTATTATATAGAAAAAATGTGTGTCATTTTAAAGGATACATACTTAGGTTATTTTAGAAAAGAGGTAGATATAAAAATGTGTGGGTCACACTGAAAAAATAAAAATAATAGTGTAAGTTTCATTCTTTTTGTTTATCTCTCTTATAAATGATCTAAGTGTGTGTTCTTTTAAAATATAGGAAAAGTGTTTGTCATTTTAAATGACAGAAAGTTATGTCATTTTAAGAGAGATACAGACACAGAAAATTTGAATTTTAAATTAAAAAAAACCACCAACTTTCTTTCCCATGATTTCTATTTTTCTGTGTCTATCTCTCCTAAAATGATATAACTTATGTCATTTAAAATGACAAACATCAAACTCTTAAAATATATATATTTTTCTTTATTATATATGAATTTTAACTTCACTCTGTTTTCTTCCAGCACTTTTGCACTTAGGGAACATTTGGTAGAGGTAAAAAAAATTTTTTTTCGAAAATTTCAATTTTCAAAAATATGATGAAAATATTTAGTTTATGATAATATTCGAAAATTAAAAATTTAAAAAAATTCAGTTTTTCATAAATCCTAAAAAATATCGTGTACCAAACGCCCCTTTATAGGCTTTCTCTTTCCATGGATTCTAATAGAAGACGACCCAATGAAGCGCTCTCTTAAACTAGTATGTTGTAGTGCCATCCCAAAACGTTGTTTTGGTGAATCTATCTTCGCAACTAATCCGATTCGGGGCTGGTTCAAGATTAAGGCTTTAAACTTCTCTCAAAGTAGGTACTGGGGAGATTCGAATACATACTCTCACCCCTATCTGATTAGTTCTCATGTGCCAACTGAGGTACCCCATTTGATATTTTTTTTTACTGTATTATATTTGTTGTCTTGCTGTGCCACCAAAAGTACGGACCTCTTTTTTCTTTCTTGTAGATTTCAACCTCTTCCAATACGTGGCACATCGACCCAAGTTTTTTGTTTGAAAAACTAAAATGGCATAATAGTGGGGTTTAGTTTAGGGGAAATATTATTTTTATGTTATGGGAAAAAATAGGTGAGATCCACAGGTAAGAGGAGAGAAAAATGAGTGGTGGGACCCAATATCTTTTTGTATGTCTAGAAAGGGGAAATATCTTCAATGGATAATCATAATTATACAAAGATAAAAATAAATATAACCGTTGGATCTATATAATCAATCTAACGGTGAAATTGATGGATAATAATATTGATAGTAATCCTAATTAGTTGTTATAATATCATATCCCTAGTTTGGAAAAGGGACAAAGTGATAAAAAAATTAAAGCATGGACAAAATGCTAAATCAACCCCTTGTTTATCTCATATAAAATGAGATAAACATAACCCATATATGAGATAAACATAACCCATATATGAGATAAACATAACCCATATAATAATAGAGAGTTGGGGTTGATTTAGCATTTTGTCCATGCTTTAATTTTTTTATCACTTTGTCCCTTTTCCAAACTAGGGATATGATATTATAACAACTAATTAGGATTACTATCAATATTATTATCAATCAATTTCACCGTTAGATTGATTATGTAGATCCAATGGTTATATTTATTTTTATCTTTGTATGGTTATGATTATTCATATTTAATGTGAAAGCATTAAATATGAAAATCATAACTATACCAAAGTGAAAATAAATATAAAATATTAAATATGGAGAATCATAACCATACAAAGATGAAAATAAATATAACCATTGGATCAACATAATCGATCTAACGGTGAAATTAATTGGTAGTAACATTGGTAGCAACCCTAATTAGTTATTATAATATCATACCCCTCCAAACTATATACCATATATTCCCTTCTTCTTAAATTATATAGCGAAAAATTCATCAATGCTCTTGTGATTTGTTTTAGAATCACTTATATTCTTATGTTTTTTTTTTTATATCACATATGTTACTGTGGTTTGTAAAAAAATAAAAAATCAAGGGACATATGCGATAAAAAATATAGCCTTTTGCAAACTACAGAGGCATATGTGATAAACAAAATCACAGGGACATATGTGAGTTTGGAGTAAATCATAAGGACATTAGTAAACTTTTCCTAATTATATAAATCAAAGTTTAAGATACACTTACTCGAATAAATAAATTATTTATTCGAGTAAATAAATTATCAAGAATTAGAATTTGATCAAACGTTGGTCAAATATAAACAATTGATATATAATTTGGGGAGAGAGATAAAATGGTTGCAAAAAATTATAACAAGGGCAAAATAATTGGTGGTTGAAACCAATATTATAAAAACCGGATCGACTCGGAAACGGGTGGACCGGTCATGTAATCGGTCCGATTTTTATATTGGATCGGCTATGTACGGAATTTGTGTGACCCGATACGACCCAGTCGATTCAATCGATGATCCGGCCCGATTTGTAAAAAGAAAAAACTAATTTGTTCTCATTAATTGATGTATTCCTTTTTTTTCACTCTCACACAAATGGTTCATTTTCTTTTGAAATATTGGAGTGATTTGTAGTTGATTGACTTACATAGATTATGTACCTACAACCTAATATTATCTTGGTTATACAATATGCAGGAAATTTTAATTTGATTTATAGTTAGAGATGTCATTTACTGAACCTGAAACACCAGTATCACAAATATTATATGTTTGATTGATCTTTTGTTGAACAATGATATGTAATTTATTATTTTTTATATTAAAATATTTAAAATTGGTATCATTTTTTTACAAATATTTAAGTATATTATAATTTTTTTAATATAAATTATAAATTTACATATATTTATCAAGTCATGCAATCAAACTAATAATTTAATACCTCAACCAGATCAAAAACTGGATCGGGTTTAATAAGATTGGTTGAAAGAGAACTCTTAAACTCTTAACATAAACATCTTGACGTTTGCCAAGTAAACTCCTACACCATTCCACGCAAAAGCCTGTATGTAAATTATTTGAGACTTAGCTACTACATAATAAGTATATTAATACAATTGTTCAGTGCAAAATCAATCAAACTGAAGAGTATCATTGCACGAGTTTTTATACTACTTTACAAATGAATTATCTTAAAATATTTATTTATTTATTCTATGCATAAGATAAAAATAGGAATTTATGACTGTATCTGTATGCATGGGATGTCTCAAAATCTATTTCTATTTGAGGAAGGGAAAAAAAAAAAAAAAGAATTCAGAGGAGTTTGGGTCCTAAAATGAAGGGGAAGTTGAATGGCAGGAATTGAATGGAGAACAAAAAGGGACGGTCATCATCTCATTTCTCTATAATAAAAAATAAGCCATTCCGCATCATCATCATCATCCTTCTTGTATTTAAAACAACACATTTCAAGCCCAAACGAAAGAAAAGAAGAGTGAAAAATAAAAAAGCGAGAGAAAAAAAAAAAAACTAACTGAAAGAAGAAGAAAAATGTCGTGGCAAACTTACGTGGATGAACACTTGATGTGCGATATCGACGGCACAGGCCAACACCTCACCGCCTCTGCCATCATCGGCCACGACGGCTCCGTCTGGGCCCAAAGCTCTTCATTCCCTCAGGTATATATATATATATATATATATATATATATATATATATATATATATATATATATATATATATATATATTCATTTCATCATATGCTCTGTTTTTTCATTCTTTGATCTGTTCATTCTGCATCTGAACACCGATCACAATGCAGTTCCACTGGATCTGCTGTTACTATACTGTAATCATTTTCCGTATTGATTCTCGATTCGCCGTTACGACACGTGGCTCATCGAAACCGTTTTGCGGAAGACAATAAAATTCGTCTTACTGCTTCTGAGAATTTGAATGCTTGATTTCGATTTGATTGATTGATTTTATGTATTGAATCATGTTTGGAATGGTCATTTCATTTCACATTTCTCCTATATATCATGTGTGCGTGCGTCCTGCGTCAAATAGCGAGTGAATTTGGAGAGAAAAAAAAAGACTATATAGAACATATCATGTAAAAGTTTGTGAAATGAGCTCATCTCATTATCGTTATTGTTAGATCAAACTTTGTTACCATTAGATTAAAATTAAATTAATTATTCTCTATTGATGTTATTGAATTGATTATTTTATTTTGATCTAATCATAAGGAAAATAGTCATAAAGAATTATAACCAAAAAGATGAGATTATAACAATATAAATCCTTAACATTCTTGCACTATTTAATGATTTTATATATAATGTGACTTTTATTGATCCAAAATTGAATTGTAACTATTTATTACACTAGTATTTATGTCAAATCTTG